CAACCTCAACTAGGTGAGTGTCTCAGTAGAAGTAACCAGTTACCAGTAACCAGTGTACCAGTAGATGACTCACTACCAACCGTCTCTGCCTGAGTCACTGTCTGTATTCATATTGCCGCTGACCTCAGCAGTATTTCAAAGACCCCCACATATGGGTACTGTGGGCGGTCAGTTATACGAGAGTGAGCAAGGAGGCAGGTCACGGCTGTTTGGCTCTTCCATACTTACCGTTATAATTATACGTACTTCCAGCCTACGTGAGTATTACTTTACCCTATCCACGTGTTCGAACCCCCACATGATAAGTGCATATATATATATATATATATAATATATATATATATATATATATATATATATATATATATATATATATATATATATATATATATATATGTCGTGCCGAATAAGCAGAACTTGCGATCTTGGCTTAAATAGCAACGCTCATCTTGCCATATAGGACAAGTGAAAATTTGTGTATGCAATAATTTCGCCAAAATCATTCTGAACCTAACGAAAAAAATATATCTCACTGTGTTTGTTTAGTATTAAATTATTGTAACAATCTAAAATATTATATTGGGTAAGGCTAAAATAAATTGCGTTGTCATAATAAGGTTGGGTAAGTTTTACTAAGTTCCTTTTGGTGAAAATTCTAAATTTGTACATCAACATTAATGTAAAAAATATATCTTTAAACGTATAAGAGAAAATTTAGAAAGACTTAATTTTAAATAAAGTTTTTGCAATTGACCAGTTTTACCAATTCGGCACGACATATATATATATATATATATATATATATATATATATATATATATATATATATATATATATATATATATATATATATATGCAATAAGATCACAGTAAACAGGTGATTTCAGAATATGCAAAACAACCACTCTGAAAAAATAGAGAAATTCCAAGCGCTTTCGTGACTACTCACATTATTGATAATGTGAGTAGTCACGAAAGTGCTTGGAATTTCTCTATTTTTCAGAGTGGTTGTTTTGCATATATATTAATATATATATATATATATATATATATATATATATATATATATATATATATATATATATATATATATATATATATATATAGGGAGGTACCACCTCTGAAACTAGGTTGGGGATCTTCATCCTCAGAGAAAAGAATGAACTTAGTCCAGGGAAAACTCGAGATTCTCCCTATATTTTCTATTATATGTTAACTTTATTTAAAGACAAAATACATTTACAAAACTACAATAGGAAATTGAACAACATACATGGCATGTTAGAGCCTACATCTCAAACACTTCATCCAGCTCCCTGGCAGTCGGCCGCATGCCCAGAATGCTGCAGGCATTACCCCTCTGGATCGCGACACTGAGTCTCTGAAAGAGAAAGCTGACCGCACTATGATCCTTGGTTTGTGTGATGAGCTTTTCTCCCAGCTCTTTGATGAACTGTAGAGCACACTTATCCCATGCTCCAAGGGTCTGTGACCCTATTGGGATGAAGTAATAGTAGCCAGGCAGGCCGTCATATTTGCGGATCTTTTGGGTCTCTCTGTGACTGGCGGCTCTACCCACTTCAACTTCAGAGTATAAAGTAGGTGTCTGCCAAAGTGGCTGTGCAGGTGTAGTCCCAGGCAATCTGCTTACCATCCTTGCAGGGTAGCATAATGGCTCCATCTGGACGCTTTTGACTTCCGTTGGACCTCCATAGTTGGGGTTCCTGTTGAGCTGGGCAACGGGCTGTGACGAGACTTCTCTTTATGATGTCGTTTACCTTTTCATGTCTAGCATACTTCCCTTCTGATGTATGACACACGAGACCATGAAGTCCAAATTAATCAGCCAACGCCCAGCCGCAAATACACCGATGTTCAGTGAGTATGGGGACGGCTAGGCGAAGAGCAACACCAATCCGAATGGCCTGTGAGTCGAGTCGGGTGCCCAGGCAAGAGTTGGGAACGACTAAAAGGAAATCTTCTGGATGTGGTGCCTTCATCGCTAGAAGACGAGCTTTGTTCTTTCCTGGAGCGTTGTTGAGCATTGTGTTGGCAATTTTTTTCCATGATCGGTTCGTCCCACTGGGGCTGTTTGTGCTCTTTGGGCGGAGTTGGTCTTCTAGAGGAGCCTGCATGGGTGGGTGTCTCACAGCATGGCTGCTTCAGTGAACCTGGGATATTGAGCTTCTACCACACCTCTCAAGCCTTGCCTAGTCCACTGGAAGCCATGCATGAGGACAGAAATGCAAGTAAAGCTACCTGCATTGCCTTGCACACCCCTATACCTCTCAGTCGCACTAGGAGAGTTGTTTGATCCCATTGTGATCTTCCAATGACAGATTCAGTACCTTTTTAAAGATAGATCTCAGGAGTAAGTCACATTCGATAAGTGCTGGTTTGTCGAAAGAGGGTGCGAACCTCAGGAAGTAGGTAAGTCTTGGCAGAATAAGACACCTTGTGAGGAGATACAGGGCATCATGAACATCAAGATTGCTTATTC